GAAAGATTTTCACTTCTCTGGTGACTTCAGGACAAAAAGTGGCCACAAAGCATCAACAACAGCCAGCCTAGCATGGACACAAGTGCCTGACAGCCCTTATCCTCCTGGCACTGCAGCTCCCACCATGGTGGAGGTAACACCCAGACGCTTCTGAGTGTCCAGTGACGAAGACTAGGCTACACCAGATGAGGAACAACAGGTCATGAGAGCCCCCAGCCAAATCTGCCCAGACATGCCGGCCTAAGTTTTGTACCAAGTGTTCTGAACTTTAACATGTGTTAGCATCTCTTCTTCCCAATAGCTTTCCCTCGTGTTTCTTCTCTTCCAGCACTGAATGTGTGATTCAGTCATGCGTTAACCTTTGTGTCTGATTCCTGATCTGCTGTTAAAATCTATGTTAATTCCTTAGAATCCCACAATTTTTTCCCCAAGCAAATTCTGAGCAGGCTGGGATTCCTGTAGAAGACGCAGTAGGTAGCTAACGTGATCTGTTCTCCAACAGCTCAGGCTGCATGAATGGTCTAATTAACACCTCATCAAACTCAACTGTTGGTTGTGTCTGGAGAAATTCCCTCTTGCACCTGTCACAAGACACCATTTCTAGCCTCCTGCACAGCAGGCCACAGCTATTGGAGCAATGTTCCATCACTGCAGAGCCCGTCCTTACATGAGCAGTCGTGGTCCTGCTCCAGCCTCCAGGACTAGCCAGCCCAGAGTGACACCGATACGCTCTGCACTTGCTCTGAGCCATTGCACCGCCCAGGGTGGTGCAAGACCTTGGGAGCCATAACTCAGCAGCAAAGGGTGTGCAAAACCTGTGCTGATGCGCATTTCAGGCAGGGCTCTCTCCTCACATTGTCCTAGTTCCATCATCAGAAAGTGCACAGGGTTCACCCAGCACAGCTCAGTGTCACCAGCATAAGGACAGCCTTTGTGCTGGGACAGCATGCACGCATCCCTACATACTGCAAACCTGTCCTTATCATCTAGCCTCTCCAGCAGACCCCAGAGCAAGGTGGGCACTCCCAGGAGGGGTTCAGTCCCACCCTGTCCTGGAGGACAGGCCCTAGGATTGGGTCAGAATGGCCCTGGAGGTGTCCATCCCCCACCAGTGAGATGGACAAAGCCCGGTGCACAGCAGAGAGCAACACCAAACTCATGTTGCCACTACCATTATTGCAGGACAAGGTTTAAACATAAAGAATAAGCTTAGCTTGGTTGCTTGAGATCATGGTTAAACAACTATAATGTTTGGAACGCAGAGCATGCCTCAGGAAAAATGTAATTTTAGGTAATACTTCACGAGACTTTTCTTTGAGTGTTTCAGGACCTCAGGTAACTCTAGAGGCTTTCCCTGAGAACATTTAACTCCAGCTTCTATTGTTGGAGATCAGTCCCTGGGCCTCTCTGAGCTCTCCTTTCCCACTTCAGCTCATTTCCACTATTTCCCCCACCAAACCTCACTTCCTCAGCTTGTGTAACAGGGCACTGCTTGCCTGGCAGACTAATCCACCCATCCTGTCTTCTGCTCTGGGGTGACTCTTCTCTCCACTCCAGCCTTACTTAGCACTTGAGTCATAATCTTCAACTTGGCATACCTCTCCCTATCTGCTTGTCTTCTGCTGTTCATCACATTTTTTAAAATAAGAGAAAAACTTTGCAGATTTTGCATCATCAGGACTATTAACTGCACACACTTCACTGGCCTTGCAGCCTTCATCCTACTGCAAGCGCTATGTAGACCACTCATGGTTGTCTAGCAAGGCAGACAGCAGGCTTGCCATTGAGAGCACCTTCCTAAATCCTTTCTCCTCTCTCCTGCTTGCTGGCAGTGTGGTGCTCCTTCAGCACCCGCAGAGGCACGTCCTGGCCGTGGCAGCCCCAGGCACACGCTGAGCCACATCACAGCGACCAGTTCTGCGACGCTCCTGCGGAAGGCAGAGCTCTCGGTAGCACTAACCGAGAGTACTGAAGAGACCCCAGGGAGTCGCTGGGAATAAGCAGCTTAGGCACTGGGGGTTATTTGTTTGTCCTTTTGCAGCTCCATTTCCAAACACTGCAAACGAGCGCTTAGCCCTTTGTCTTTGTGTAATCAGACTTGTTCCTCCTCTTTATGCCCTGCTTGGTCATAATGGGGTCTTTATGCGGAGAGACAAGCAGCTCCTGTCTCACAGGACCCCATGGGCTTGTAAGGCCACGCAGGCACGTGCCGCTCTCCGTGCGCTGCAGAAACCAGGGTTTGGAGTGCAGGACACAAGGTTTCTCCATGGGAGAGAGAAATCACTTTGAGCACCTGTGGACCAGCGTCACCCTGGCATGCAGGGACAGCAGCAGAGAAGCAGCATATAGCCTGGAGAGCAGGCAGGCTCGTTACAGCTCTTTCAGACCAGCGTGGGGGTCTGGAGAGCCCCCACCATCCCACCACCAGGGCTGCCGAATCCCTAGCTCTTACCTTCCTTCCCTTTCATTCAAGATGGTGTTTCTGCCACCCTCTCCATCAGACTGCACGCTACAGCCTCGCTCCCGGGTTCGCCGTCAGCCCGAGCATGGCTCCAGCAACGCAGAGCTGCCAGACCACCCTGGCCGTGCGACTCGGCTAAAAAACCCTGCGACCCGGCTGCGGCGCACGAAGGGCAAATGCAGCAGTAGGACTTCCCTTTCTCTAAGAGCTTCTTGGCTCTCATCCCCGTTGTTTCCCTTACTCAGCCCGCTCCTCCCGGCGCTAATA